TACTTCATTGTGTTTTTAAGAGTCACATTTTAAAAGAAGGAGACAGCAGCACATGTCAATTTATCTAAAATGTATTAATCAACAGTGTTTACAGCTGTTTTTCTGTTACGGTTTTATTTTCTGTCCTGTTTAGTCCAACCCTGAAATGTTCATCTACAATAAGCTCCATGATGCCAATAAAACCAGCATAAAGCTTTGAGTTGGACTGAACCAACTCTATGGTGGAAGTAGAATATATATATATTCTTAAAAATACAATCAACAAGCATTATTTAATATATTGCTGGGCGTGAAACATATTTTACTCAGAAATAGGGGATCAAACCTCACAATTAAAATAAATAAATAAATGGGGGAGCAGCTGCTCCACTTGCTCCATAGATGGTACTATGTGTATAATTGTATTAATAAGTAACAGTTTTCTAGACATAGTTTTAGTGTATTTTATGGCTTTAAAAGTGCATTTGCGCTGTCAAATCGATAGCCAATACATAAATTATCAGTTGAACGTTTCAGTGTTTGCGCATTCGTTTTGTGTCAGCCGGGCTTTGATTTGGTTGGAAGTACCGAGTAGGGAAATAAAGAGCTCCTTTTTAAATCGAGAGCAAAGCCGGAGGAAGGAAGTGACATCTTAAATCAGGGACGCCCTATGAGCATTGTCTAAGTTTATGGCTTCATTTAGCATGCATGTGCAAAGTACCATACTGTAAATCACCTGTTGTTTAACACAGAGTGTAAATTGTCATTTCAGCTGACTCCGCCCACTCAGCTAAGCCTTTTTGTCAGCCGGGTTGTAAATGGTGTGTAGCCCATCACGGTTGGATGATGACGTTGCACAGAGCGCGCTGACCACAGTAAAGATGGCGGACACATCGGGGACCGAGCTGTCAGAAGAGAAAGACGCCGACATTGAGCTAAAGAAGCGACTAAAAAGATCTTGGGAGGACTTGCACAGGTCGGGTAAGGTCGGAATAACCCCGCAGCTGCCAGAGACGTTGGGATTTTACGACATTAGCGCCGCCAGGAGGGAGCAGCGCGAGCTCCCAGCAGGTAACCGCCAGGTTCCCCGCAAACACCGTCCGTTAACCCGCAGCTCCAACCGCCGAACAACGTGCGGGCTCTGCGGGGTGAAGCTGCCCCTCGGTCCCTCTGAAGTGTGTACGACTCTGTGTTGCTGCAGAAGGAAACGAGTCGTTCAGAAACGGCTGCGTCGTTTGTTTACATGAGTCGGCACCGAATGAAGCGCGTGTGCTTGGTCGACTCTTTGAAGAATGGTTCGGTTCTTACCTGAGTGACAGGAGTTTGAAGGTTGGAAATAGTGTAATCGGTGCCTCTTTCCTGCGGGGTTCCACAGGGCTCGATTATTGGACCCCTTGTGTTTTCACTATCTGCTCTCTTTGGGATCATTTCATTCTTATGCTGATGATTGTCAGATTTATTTGCCCTCAAAGCCTAATACTTCTTGCTCATTAAAATGTCTTGACATCAAGGCATAAATGGCTTCAAATTTTGTAAGTTTTAATGATCAGAAGTCTTAAGTCATTGTGTTTAGGCCTAGCTCTACCGGGTCTCTGATCCTGTAAACCTTGACAGCCATGTCTTAAGCATTCTGTTATGAATCTCAGGATGGTTTTAGACTCTGACTTTAAGTTTAATAAACAAATTAACTCTGAAAAGCTAGTGAATAGCTACGCTTAAGTCAATGCTGTCCAGATCTGACCTTGAAAATCTAGTCTAGCTGTTTCTAGCTGATAGCTAATCTAGCTGTTTTTTGTTTTGTTACCTTTTCCTTTTAGCCATCCTATTTGTTAAAAAAAAAAAAAAAAAAAAACTAGTATGCTTTTTTTTATAACTGTTTATTGTTGTTGCTGTTGTCCATTGTTGTCATCTTTCTTTGTTGAAATCAGGTCTCTCTTGTAAATGAGTCCTCGAGGCTCAATGGGATTTACCTGTATAAATAAAGGTTGATTGATTGATTGATAGTCCATGCCTTTTATTACAGCCCGACTGGGCGACTGTAACACGGTTTATGTTGTGGTCAGTCAGTCAGGCGGTCTCCCTTTCACATCTCCAGCTTGTCCAAAATGCTGCAGCTCGGCTCTTAACAGGAACTCGTAGGTTTGATCATAGTTCACCAGTTTTGTCCTCCCTTCACTCGCTCCCTGTACGTACCAGAATTGATTCAAAAATTCTCCTGCTGGCCTTTAAGTCCATAAATGACCTTGCACCCTCGTCTCTCTCTGATCTACTTCAACCAGATGTTCCTTCTCGGGCACTGAGATCATCTGATCAGCTGCTTTTGGTTGAAGCTCAGAGGAGATCGGGCTTTTTCAGTCGTGGTCCTGAACTCTGGAACAATCTGCTCCCAACATTAGACAGAACACTTCACTTCCTGTTTTTAAAATCAAAACACACCTGTTTTCTCTGACTTTTTACACAGTGTCACTCCATTTAGGTTTTTATTGCTCAGCGTTTCTTTGTTCTTCTTTTGATGCTTTGAATACATTTTCAGTACTACCATTATTTTATTGTGTTTTCTCTATGATTCGGATTTTATTGTTAAGCACTTTGGGAACAGCTGCTGTTTTTAAATGTGCTTTATAAATAAAGTTGACTGGACTTCGACCGGCATCGTTTGTTAAAAAAACTAATGAAACAGGATCAGAACATTTCTTATCAACAGGCCTGATTGTAACAACATGTGTAAAATTTACATTTAAAACTGTCATCTGAGGTTTAAATAAACACTTTAATAAGAAACCCTGGACATATTTATAATAATTTGATGTTATAATATTATAAGTGATGCTTTAAATCCATCTGCTCAGGTGTTCCATCACATTCTGTCACCTTCACATTTAATTACTTGATAGATCTGTTGGTTTGCAAATATAATCTTTAACGTTCTTAAAGACAAACTGCATGTAAATAATGCTGCGTGTGGAGTCCAGTTGAATAAATCCTTCTAATCCCTGTGTGGTACCATAAAGGTCTTTATCTGAGCACCTGGTGTCAGTTCAGCAGAGTTAAATAAATACAGACCAGTGTAAAGTGCACGTGAAGTCGCTGTGCTTTATGTAATGATTTGATTTGCTCAAGGGCAGTTTGAGGTTGAAGTAAATTGACCTACGATTCAGTTTATTTTGCCTTTAGACGCGTTGTTTTCTGCTCCGTGTGATATTCAGACCTCGGCAGTAAAACGGCTGTTTGCGTCTTTACAGCAAATTAATGTTCGTCTTCAGTTTATGACATATTTCATGTTTACAGAGACTGAATTGGTGGAAAAATCGTTCAACACGTTTGTGCATGTGAGCAAAACTTGGTCGTGTGTTCCACATTTATTAATAGTTTTCAAAACGAGACACGTTTCCTTAGTTTTAAGAGCCAGCTTCTTATTATTGATAATTTAAAATAGTCAGGGAATGTTTGGTCAAAGGTTATGGTTTTTATTTTATTTTTATTTATTATTAATTTATTACTCTTCCTCTCTGCCCTGAGAACAAAAAGCCTCAAACGAGCTGAAACCATCTACCAAGACACTCTTCTCTCTGCCCATGAACCATATGTTTGATTCTTTTGGGTAAACAACGTTAGTGAGATTTTCCCCAACAATTTTTTTTCTGCTTTTTTAATATTCCGTTCTGCTTCATATCAACAAATTACATAAAAAAATGAAACCCAAAGTTTGTGTTTGGTTATTAAGGAAATAACAAAGAACTAATTTTAGTCACTTCTTTATTTTATGTGATGGTTTACTGAATACTTGTGATCCTGGTTAAACTTTTTAGCTTCTGACCTCTAAAATAACGACATGAAACCCAAATACCCCGGACTGAACGACACACAAACAAACATGACTTAAAAAGTACAAACCAGATTCCAAAAAAGTTGGGACACTAAACAAATAGTGAATAAAAACTGAATGCAATGATGTGGAGGTGCCAACATCTAATATTTTATTCAGAATAGAACACAAATCACAGATCAAAAGTTTAAACTGAGAGAATGTTTCATTTTAAGGGAAAAATCTGTTGTTTCCAAATTTCATGGCGTCAACAAACCTCAAAAAAGTTGGGACAAGTCCATTTTTACCACTGTGTGGCATCCCCCCTTCTTCTTCCAACACTCAACAGACGTCTGGGGACAGAGGAGACCAGTTTCTCCAGTTTAGACATAGGAATGCTCTCCCACTCATGTCTGATACAGGCCTCTAACTGTTCAATCGTCTTGGGCCTTCTTTGTCGCACCTTCCTCTTTATGATGCGCCAAATGTTCTCTATAGGTGAAAGATCTGGACTGCAGGCTGGCCATTTCAGTACCGGATCCTTCTCCTACGTAGCCATGATGTTGTGATTGCTGCAGAATGTGGTCTGGCATTATCGTGTTGAAAAATGCAGGGTCTTCCCTGAAAGAGATGACGTCTAGATGGGAGCATATGTTGTTCTAGAACCTGAACATAGTTCTCTGCATTAATGGTGCCTTTCCAGACATGCAAGCTGCCCATGCCACAAGCGCTCATGCAACCCCATACCATCAGTGATGCAGGCTTCTGAACGGAGCGTTGATAACAACTTGGGCTATCCTTGTCCTCTCTGGTCCGGATGACATGGCGTCCCAGTGTTCCATAAAGAACTTCAAATCGTGACTCATCTGACCACAGAACAGTCTTCCATTTTGCCACACTCCATTTTAAATGACCCCTGGCCCAGTGCAAACGTCTGAGCTTGTGGAGCTTGCTTAGAAATGGCTTCCTCTTTGCACTGTAGAGTTTCAGCTGGCAACGGCGGATGGCACGGTGGATTGTGTTCACTGACAATGCTTTCTGGAAGTATTCCTGGGCCCATTCTGTTATTTCCTTGACAGTGGCATTCCTGTTTGAGGTGCAGTGACGTTTAAGGGCCCGGAGATCACGAGCATCCAGTAGAGTTTTACAGCCTTGACCCTTACGCACAGCGATTGTTCCAGATTCTCTGAATCTTTTGATGATGTTACGCACGGTTGATGATGATAACTTAAAAGTCTTTGCTATTTTACACTGGGTAACACCATTCTGGTATTGCTGCACTATCTTTCTGCGCAACAATGGTGGAATTGGTGATCCTCTTACCATCTTGGCTTCTGAGAGACACTGACACTCTGAGAAGCTCTTTTTATACCCAATCATGTTGTCAATTGACCTAATTAGTGTTAATTGGTCTTCCAGCTGTTCATCATATGCTCAATTTCCTTTTTCCAGCCACTTATTGCTACTTGTCCCAACTTTTTTGGGATTTGTTGACACTGTGAAATTTTGAATCAACATGTTTTTCCTTTAAAATGTTACATTTACTCAGATTAAACTTTTGACCTGTCATCTATGTTATATTACGAATAAAATATTGACATTTGCCATCTCCACATCATTGCATTCAGTTTTTATTCACAGTTTGTTTAGTGTCCCAACTTTTTTGGAATCTGGTTTGTAAACCGCTTAAGCTCATTCAGCTACTTTTTTCGTTCACCGTTATTTTTGTATTTAGTATTAATTTTAGTAAATATATTGCTTCTAAGAGTTATTTTAAAGTTTTGTTTGATTTCTGGAGGTAGTCTCAGGACCCCATCTTGGTGTTTTGTGACCCACAGAGGGGGCTCGACCTCCACTTTGGGAACCACTGCAGATGAAAAGCTGCTAGACTGACAAATTATTTTTGTTAAATGTATAATTTAGTTTTTTTTTTTCCCCAGATATTTTAAACCCCAAGTGATAAATTTAAAAAATCTAACATATGTATTGTAGATTTTTCATGTTTCCTGGAATGAAGCAGCTCAGTGTTCATAGTGTTCATAGTGTTCATAGTGTTCATAGTGTTCATAGTGTTCATAATGTTCATAATGTTCATAATGTTCATAATGTTCATAATGTTCATAATGTTCATAATGTTCATAATGTTCATAATGTTCATAATGTTGGGGCCTCGTTGAGCGGCTGCAGCAGATAATGGCTTTGTGATAACACTGGTCCTGTTGTTGTTCCAGATCCGTCGTTGGCTCGCTTCATTTGTGCAGAACTCACCAGAGGTTACTTCCTGGAACACAATGAAGCAAAATACACCGAGCGCAGGGAGAGGGTGTACACGTGCATGCGTATTCCCAAGGAGCTGGAGAAGGTAACTTCCAGTACGGCCCTGAGCTCTGGTCTCTCTTTGCTCTTTAGCTGTCTCCACCCGTCTGCTGGTTTCTGTTGAAGAACAGACAAAGTTCTTTACTTTAGGGACATTCAGTGCTTCGACTCCATAAACTCCCTGAATGTTCTGCACTTGACTTATTTAAGTGGAAATTATACCAAGTTCGTGATTTTGAATCCCTACTTTTAAATAATTAACAGGAAAAAAACAAACACATTGTGCTGATTGTAATTATCCAAGTTGTGCCCAAATTTTAATATAATTGAATGTACTTCTCTAACATAAAACTGACAATTTATCTTTAAATTAGTATTATTATTCATTGAACCTCACGAGGTCTCTTTATCAAGGTTATTATAGACTAGACCAAACAGTTTTAGTCTTAATAAAGCCAGTAATTAATAAATATTTTATGTATTTTTTTATAATAAATTTACACATTCATGATACCCCAATCATCTACAGTTGTCGTTTTTGTTGCAAAAATCCAGATATTGTAAAATGTTTGTTTCCCTTTTATCCACTAGGTGGCAGTCTTGATACATGTTATGTTTATCTTTAGTTTTCCGTATTTTATTGATTTTTTTTTATTAGAAAAACAAGTTTTTGTCAATAATCTATGTCGTAATTTAAGCCGTCTCTTAATATTTTCACGTATAATGGTCTGAATACATGTTGATCAGTTCCAAGGATCTGCTTTTAATATTTAAAAACATTCCTTGTAAGGTAATAATGCAACTGGTTGTCATTTTCTGAAACTGCTAAAGAATGTTTTTGCTCCACATCTGGCTCCACATCTGCCTTTGGCAGTTTCATTTTGTTTCCCAGTCGGATAAGATCTAGAAGATGCAACGTTTTAAAGTCATAAAGGCACTTTTTAAAAATGTATTCTACCTGTTTGTGCAGATTGTATATTTCTTCGGTGACTCTCACTGACTGACGGTGGGTTGTTGTCGTTCCAGCTGATGATTTTCGGCTTCTTCCTGTGTGCCGACGCCTTCCTGTACATCTTCACCCTCCTGCCCCTCCGGGTGCTGCTGGCCCTGCTGCGCCTCTTCACCGTGCCGTGCTGTGGCTTCAGGTCAGAGCTTCAACCTACATACAGCTGTAAACAACTCAAGCTTGTGTACAAGTGCTTTCTGGATCCAGTATGAGTCCAACTAAGAAGCTCTTTAACTCGTGGTTAAAATGCCTGAGTTCCTACAGTGGAGTCTGCTAAACCAGTGAAACTGACTTCTTTCTCTGGGAATCAAACACCTCTTTAAAATAGTTTCTATTTCTAAGTTATTATTTTACATTACTTTTACAAAAACAGCTCACCGTGATTAAAGCAAGAACTATAGGACACATGGGCGCACCGTCCTGAAACATTGAATTACAGGAACATCACTTTTTTAACCAGCTGAGAATAGATTAATGAACGAGCTCAGGTCTGCAACTTCACAAAATGTCTTCAGTCTGATCCAAAGTGCTGAAGAAATGTGCAGAACAGATTCATGTGGAAGTACTACAGTAAAATTAAAAAGTTGAAGCTACTTTTTTATTTTAAAGTTTTAGTTTTTTTGTATCAGGGCATAAAAAAACTCACTGAGTCATAAAGTTGTGTAAATAAAAGTTCAGATGAATAACAACACATTACTGAATTATTCACTAAATGTAACTCGGACGGCTGAAGCTGTGTCTGAAACACTAAGAGCATCTGATCATTCGGCCTCTCGTGATAAACAATAAATCAATTAATCGCATGATAAATGAAAATTATCAACCTCGTTTTCATTTATCGGCTTTATCGTTTCTTCGTGTCTCTCTTTCTACTGAAGACACTGGATGACAAAAGGTTCAACTCCGGTCTCTTCACTGACCCTCCCTTTGTCTTTTCTCTTCAAAATCTGTTTTAACCGTCAAAAATTGTGTTTTTGGATCGTTGAAAGAAGCTAAGCTACGAGCTAAGCTAACAGGCCGACCTGGGGGGTGGGGGAAAAAATTCAAACCAAAGCCATTCAGCTGTATTTGTGTTTTAGAGACAAACATCTTCAGTTGTTCTAATTTTACTGCCTTAAAGTTCAACATGCTAACTGAGGCCTGTAGATCCTGATGCTGCTCAATAATCCAGGTGGAAAATCCATCAAAGTTCAGTCAGGTCCTCTGGACGGTTTCTTCTTGTTGAAATGATTCGTCTTTCAGACAAAGGACTTCATCAGTCCGAGGAGCCGCAACAAACTCAGTCTTCCAAACAGCACCTGCACATAGTGGGTCAACCAGTTTGATGGTGCTCAGGTGGTTTCTGGAGTCTGTCCTCTCCCCCGCCGACTCGTCTGAGACGGTCATGGACAAAGTGGCTCAAAGGGCCTGTAGAGATTAAGATTTAGGTCTTGACCTTTTGGCACCGTCTGAATTGGGGGGAACTTGTTGGAGCATCTTCTCCTGCAAAGTTTGCCAACTTTCTTTTGAATATTCTGCTCTGCTCTACAATAGTGGACACAATAATGAACTCTAGGTTGTTGGTTGTTTCGTCTTCCAACCCAACGAGAAGAACTGATGGCACGAAAATATCAGATTATTATTTTCTTTGGTTTGGTGCTAACTCCTACAAAAGGTTCCAGAGCAGCAAACCTCCTCTGCTTTTACTAATTACCAGTTGGTCCATTTAATTAAGATGATGTCTCACTGGGCTGTGAAGGATTCTCCAGTGTCTCGAACCTTTGCGAGGGCCTCAGCTTCTCTGGACCACAGGGCCGTGCGATCTGGTTGCTTGAGTTTTGAACAAGTCCAGAAAGTTTATGCGACACATTTTCTCTCAGTATAATCACAAAGTCGTCATGTGCATCTCACACCCTCAAGACGGGGGAACGCTCTCCTCTGAGTGGTGGTGCAGAGGTTAGAGAAGGTGGGCTTGTGATCAGGGCATCGCCGGTTCAACTCCCTGGACTGACAATGTCAAAATGTTCCAATTCCTGCTCGGAGAGTTAATTTAGCCTTAGATAAGAGAATTAAGCCTTGATTAATTAAATTATTGTTTGTTTATTATTGTTGTTGATCTTAGTTTGATTATTTTTGTCATAAAACTTCAAAGACAGCTTTGGTCTCTTCATTCAGATGAATATTCACGTTATGTTATGGGACTCCCTGTAATTAACAGATTCTACTTCAGTGACTGATTCTGATCATTAAAGGGTGAAAATATGAACTGGTTGTTGTTGGTCAATAAACTGACCAGCTGGTGTTCCTCTTTAACGAGAGCTAAATAAATAAAAACAAATGGAGTGGAGAAAGTGTCGCCCTTCTTTCTCCATCTCAACCTTCATAACTGCTTTAGAACCAGCGATCTGCAGGACTTCATAATGTTAGCCGTCTGTGGAGGTGTGTGCTTGTGAACAGTTCAGTTAACTTTAAAAAAATGTAGATTTTGTATCTTCACCCTGGACCTGGACACCATGTCTCCTGCCTGACTCTTCCCTTCCCTTCCTCCTGTAGGGCTCACACATGCCCCTACTGCAGAAGAAGCAGGTACGCTCCCACAAGCCCACTGTCACAAACTGGCCCCCACATCAGTTCACCAGTCTCCATTCATCTCCATTGTGTTTGTTAATATACAGCGTGGCACCACACATCACGTTCCAGCCGTCAGCGTAAAACTGCCACGTTGGTCCCACCCAGGTTTTGTGCTTCAGACCTGTCCAGTGAAGAAGCGCTGAGCTTGCATGATCATTCTCGTCCCCGTGTTGTCAGTGATCAGCTGCAAGGTCTCAGTCCAGAGGGTTCTGTGCTGCACGGCTCTTTACATGCGGTTCAGCTGTTCTGTGTGACACCTCTCAGCACTTAGGGGTGGAAACAAAAGAAAAGTTCACCTTCTTTGTTCATGCATTTCCAAAACTGCTGGGCAGAGCTAAAGTGGATCCATAACTGCTGGACAGAAGTAGTGGCCATTTGCTACTCACCATTCAGCTTCCCTAACAAGACTGTCTGACCCTTGGTGTTGAGCTTTGTTTCACGCTGATAAGCTGTGACTGGACGCCGTCCAGGCTGCTCCAACTGCAGCACACGACTCTTTGAGGTCACATAATATTCGTCTGTGTCTGTGGAATGGTGCTTGCAGAGTAGAGATCGTGCAAACTGCTTTGAGCGCAGGACTTGAGCAGCCGCAGCAGCGTTGGTGTGCTCAGAATGAGGTGGCGAAGGTGTCCGAGTCAGCAGCTTCATGAGCCGAATGCCAAATCTTCCTTTTTATACCCACACACGTTTGAAGAAAGTTACTCATAAAAAGGGAAAGAATTCAGTCAACAAATAATGTGATTTTATTTATTTATTAACCTTTATTTAGCTTTTCTTTGTTTCATTTCTTAAAATGTATTGATTGATTAGAAACTGACAATTAAAGACATTACCTTGAGTTACAGTAACTTTAACAGGCACCGTGTTTGTTTCTGTTATTGTGTCAAACAATTATTGACAATATAAAATTACTCCAACCATTTCAAAGGCTTGAACCAGAAACAATGCAAGGATTTGTAAATCTAATAAACTAAAGTTTTATTCACGATGGAACATAGTAAACGACTTCCAAACTCTTAGAAATATTCTTGATCACTGGGCTCAAACGTCTCAGAAAATGTCTTTTTGCAATTTATTTGATCTTCTGCCAAAGCACTTCTTATCGTGTTAAAGTACACTTGTATTTTTCAGTCTAGTGTAATTAAATTAAATTACTTACAAAATAAGAGTGGAAATGTTGAGAAATTAGTCATTTTGAAATGTTTGTTGCCATTTTGGACAAATTCTGTTCTTTAATGTCAGTCCGTTCACATGACCACTGGATGGTGCCACCGTTTCAGGAAAACAAACCACAAGAAATCCAGATCATAGAAACGTCTCGTTTTTTCAGGATTTTATCTGCATCTTTGAATTTGTGACATGACCGGAGGGAAACGATATGGAGTAAAGGTTTTAAGTAGGTTCAGGATGAGTACCATCATTGCCTCTAATACGGTGGGGGGAAGCCCGGATGTTCTTCTGGTGCCTTCTCCTCTGCATGTTCATTAAAATGACAGTAAAACACACAAAGTTTTTTTATGAACTCAAAGCTAAAACTGTTTCTGCTCATTCACCAATCTGAATCACTTTTCTCAACTTATGTTTTGAAACAAATCCCTCACAAATTAATAAAAGGTAACAATGGATGTTAGAGCAGTTAAATGTTGTCATTCCATATATTGTAAAATCTGGGTGTAACTGGGACCTTGAATACATAATTTCATTCCACCTCATGTACCACATGTGATGCGATTTACAATCAAGTTGCCTTGAACCTTGGAAATGGTGACGTCATGAGGAATTCAGTTGGAGGTAGTTGAGTATTAAAATGATGTTTAATTCACAAGAACTTGTTTTCAGCAACTGAGGATTGTAAGATTTCCTCATGTTTTAATACACTGAACAAAAAAACATCAAAAATGCATCACTTTTGTTTTTGCTCCCATTTTTCATGAACTGAACTCAAAGATCCAAGACTTTTTCTAGATACTGTACACAAAAAGCCTTTTTCTCTCAACTATTGTTCACAGATTGGTGTAAATCTGTTAGTGAACACTTCTTTATTGCTGGAATAATCCATCCACCTCACAGGTGTGGCATATCCAGATGCTGATCAGACAGCATGATTATTGTACAGGTGAGCCGTAGGCTGACCACAATAAAAGGCCACTGTAAAATGTCCAGTTGTATCACAGCACAGTGACACAGATGTTGCAGGGTTTGAGTGAGCGTGCAGTTGACATGCTGACTGCAGGAATCTCCACCACAGCTGCTGCCCATGACTTGAATGTTCATTTCTCTACCATAATCCACCTCTGAAGGTCTTTCAAAGAATTTGGCAGTACATCCAACCGGCCTCATAAGTGCAGACCATGCGTAACCACACCAGCCCAGGACCTCCACATCCAGCATCTTCACCTCCAGGATCATCTGAGACCAGCCAGCTGGACAGCTGCTGTAACAATCTGTAGCATAAACAAATAATTTCTGCATTAACTGTCAGAAATGTCTCAGGGAAGGTAATCTGCTGCTTGTCGTTCTCATCGGGGTCTCCACATGTCTGCAGTTTGTAGTCGTAACAGACTTGAGAGGGAAAATGCTCACACTCGATGGCAAATGGTTTGATGGAGAGATGTTCTCTTCATGGATGAATCCCAGTTTTCACTGTACAGGGAAGATGCAGACTGCATGTATGACATCATGTAAGTGAAGCATCATAAAGCATCAGAGACTCTACTTCCTCAGGCGGCTGAGGCGAGCTGGTCTGGAAGCTCAGTCCTCACCTCCTTCTACAGGTGTGCAGTGGAGAGCATCCTGTGCTCGAGCATCAACGTGTGGCATGGAGGCTGCACAGCTGCAGAAAGAAAAGCTTTGCAGAGAGTGGTGAAGGCTGCACAGAAGATGTTGGAGTCAGTCTCCCCACCATCACAGACATTTACACCTCCAGATACAGGAAGAGGGACACCTGCATCATGAAGGACCACACTCACCCAGCACACACACTTTTTGCCCCACTCCCCTCAGGAAGGAGGTTGAGGAGCATTAAGTGTAGAACCACTAGACTGAGGAACAGCTTCTACCCTGAGGCTGTTAGACTCATGAATCTCTAACCAGAAGAATCACTGTGAAGAATCACATCATGTTGCTGCTGATCTGTTTCATGTTGCTGCTGATCTGTTTCATGTTGCTGCTGATCTGTTTCATGTTGATATGTTCATTCTTGCTCATCTGCTCACACAGACTCGTGTTCGTGCTGCTGTTCGGCGTATTGTTTTTGTACTACTAGTGTTTAGTGTATTATTTAGTTGGTGTTTTTCTTTGTTCATATCTTATAACTGTCTTTCTTTTACATTTTATACTTTTGTTGGATGTAACTGGGACCCTGTGTACACTTTTGTTCCACCACCTGTACCACATGTGATGAGAATGACAAATAAAGAACCTCTGACTCTGAAGTGAGCGGTTTGCTGTCAATGTGAATCAAGTGGCCCATGATAAATGGACCGTATTTATACAGCGCCTTTCTATCTTCTTTCAAGATACTCAAAGCTCTTTACAACAATCTGTGCCTCATTTACCCATTCATCCAGCTCTATACTAGATCTCTACAAAGCTAACTGAACAAATCATTCTAAAGAGACTAATCAGAGCTTTAGATCACATTCATACACTGATGGGACACACATCAGAGGCTATGAGGGGTTCAGTGTCTTGCCCAGGGACACTTCAGCATGTGACTGCTGGTGGATTCGAACCCCCAACTCTCGCATTGGAGGACGACTGCTCTAACCACTGAGCCAAAGCCACCCCATGGTGGCGGTGGGGTTATGGTATGGGCAGACGTACAGTATATTATGGACAACAAACACAGGGGCTGGTGTGGTTACACGTGCTCTGTGGTTGTGGCAGGTTGGATGTGCTGCCAAATTCTCTGAACATGGACATTCCTGCAGTCAGCGTGCCGCCTGCATGCTCCCTCAAAACTTGTCGTCTGTGTCATTGTGCTTTGTGATAAAACTGCACTTTTAAGAGTGGCCTTTTATTGTGGTCAGCCCTTTAAGACTCACCTGCGCAATAATCGTGCTGTCTAATCCGCATCTTGATCGGCCACACCTGTGAGGTCGGATTGTCTCAGCAAAGGTCAAGTAACTAACACAGATTTATAAAATCTGTGAACAATATTTGAGTCATTTTGTGTTCATAGAGAAAGTCTTAGGTCTTTGAGTTCAGCTCATGAAAAATGAGAGCAAAAACAAAAGTGTTGTGTTTATAATTTTATTTTTATTTGATCTTAAAGCATTTTTCCTTTTGTGAAAATCAGTTGTACTGTCAGGTGTTTGGTTTGTGTGTGCAGGTGTGGTGAGAGGACCAAATGTAGTTTTACTACAGCAGTAGTCTGTTTACACACATGCTAACAAACTATGCAGCAATAGTTCAAATTAAGCTCATCCCAGTCATCCTCGTCGCAGGATCAACTAAATGACCCGTCCTATGGATTTGTCAGCCCCGCTCACAACTTGCCCCAGAGCCGCCTCTGCCAAACACGGCTATTAATAAAATAAGCTGCATGCTTGAATCATTGCTACCTTCAACAACATGCTTTGCTCTTATGTAGTCCATGACAGCTGATGCTTGTGCATTTTCTATTTTAGACATTTCTGTCCAGATGGGTGACTCTAGTTTTATAAAATAGCCGCAGCATTTTATTAAAGATGAAAGCTGAGAGACTATATCATCGTGTTTCGTAGATAAAATTAATTACATTTTATATAACTAGTTTTAACAGTAGAAACGCACTGGAAACAGAGAGCCTTATTAAAACTAAGATAAACATTATGAATGAGGTGAACGTGGTGTGAGGGAGATGATGTCTGTCATATTGTATATTTTTATCTTCCCTTGTTGCTTTTTCCTTTTGTGGTTTATCTCATTTGAACGGAAATAAATTATTCTCCTGTGCATGTTATCCTGCTGGCTCATCTTTTGTGATGAAAATCAGAGATCATTCAGCTTGAGTCCTTCTTCTTTTGGCTTCTTCTTTTGGCTTTTACCTCTTCAGGGGTGTCCACAGCGAGTCCTTGTCCTCTATCTCACTCTGTCCTCTTCATTCTCTGTCCTCCCTCCATCTACCTCCATGTCCTCTCTAATTGCATCCATATTTCTCCTCTTTGTCTTTTTTTGGCAGCTGCATTTCTAACATCATTCTACCAATATACCCACTGTCCCTCCTCTGGACATGTCCAAACCACTGTCCCTCCTCTGGACATGTCCAAACCACTGTCCCTCCTCTGGACATGTCCAAACCATCTCAGTGTGTCCTCTCTAACTTTATTTCCCAGTTGTTCAACCTGTGCTGTACCTCTGATGATCTCATTCCTGATCTTCTCCATCCTTTTCTCTCCTAAGGAGAACCTCAACATCTTCATTTCTGACACTTCCAGTTCTGTATCCTGTCTTTGTGTCCATGTCTCTGTCTCCAGACCATACAACATAGCTGGTCTCACCACTGTCTTGTAAACTTTTCCTTTGACCTTTGCTGACACCCTTTTGTCTCAAATCATTCTTGAAACTTTTCTCGATCCATTCCATCCTGCCTGGACTCTCTTCTTCACCTCTTTACCACACTCCCCATGTTCCTGGACAGTGGACCTCAAGTCCTTGAAGTCCTGCACCTTTGTGACCTCTGCTCCTTGTAGCCTCACTGTTCCACCTCCTCCCTCTCATTCACACACATGGTCTCTGTCTTACTACGACTGACTTTCATTCCTCTTCTTTCAAGTGCATACCTCCACCTCTCCAAGTTCTCTTCCACCTGTTCCCTGTTCTCACCACAGATCACTGTCATCTGCAAACATCATAGTCCACGGGGATCCCTGCCTGACCTCATCAGTTAGTTGGTCCATCACCAGAGCAAACAAGAAGGGGCTCAGAGCTGATCCTTGATGCACTCCCATCTCCACCTTGAAGCTGTCTGTCACTCCTACAGCACATCTCACCACTGTCCTGCTGTCCTCATACATGTCCTGCTGTCCTCATACATGTCCTG